GAGGAGGAGGAGGAAGGGGAGAGGCGCGCGCAGCCGCTGGCGGACGGGCCGGGAGCGGCACCGGAGCTGACGGGACGGGGCTGCGGCGCTCTCCGGCCTCTGCCCTCCTTCCTCTCACCGAAAGCTGAGTTTCACCCCCGAAACCGGGACACAGGAGCCTCGCCGCCTTTTTCCACAGAATCACCAACGTTGGAAGAGACCTGTAAGATCATCCGGTTCAGGCGTCCACCTAGCACTGTCCCTGTAACCCTTAAACCGGTAAAGCACATCGCCCAGTGCCAGATCCAGGCAGCTCTTGACCTGGTGACTCCACCATCTCCATCTCCATGGCAGCCGGTTGCAATGTCTGACCATTATAACAGTGAAAAAAATGTCTCTACTATCTATTCTGAATTTTCTCTCTCATCTTAAGGCCATTTGTTCTTTTCCTCTCCCTGCAGGAAGGGAAGAGGAGACTGGCCCCCACCCACCTCCGTCATGGAGTAGAATAATTCTCCAGAAACACCTATTTGCAATCCTGTTTTCTCAGGAGCTTGGCGGACTTTGTCAGAGGGTCAGTTATTCCCACACTTTACACCAAAACTTGTGGGGTATGCCAGCACTGAACTGAAGCCCACCCCCCTCCTCCAAAGCCTTGATGAGATGTACGAGCTCCCAGGTTATCCCATTCCTGGGCATCATCAGGCGCTGCAGAATGAGCACCTTGCTGTGGAAAGCACAGTCCCTTCTGCCTGCATGTATGGTGCTTTCATGGTAAGGGGAGACTGGATGAGTGGTGTGGAAAATCAGGTACAAATACCGATTCATGGATAACCTGCAATCCCTCCTTTGATGCATCTCCAACTTTCCTTTTCAGGGTCAGCTTCCAGTACTGGCCATGCACCCAGTCCACATAAGAAGAATAAATGCAGATCAGTTAAAATCCCCTGGCTGTTTTCAAGTTATGAAATAGTTATCCCTTCTCCTTTTGTGTCATTATTTTTTAAGCAAAACACTATTAGATTTAGCAATTTCCTGGTTTTTGTAGAAGTTTGATCACATGCATGCAACATTAGGTTACATTACTCTGAGTGCTCTAATATTCCTAATAATTAATTATTAATAATTAGGTTCATGAGCAACAGAGCTCACAACTTACAGTGGTTGTTATCTCTCTGATTTGTGATCATTTTCCATGCAGATGTGCCTGTGTACAGCAATTTAGGTGCCACATAAATCAAAATATTTTGTCAGTGTATTTGGCCACACTGAGAAAAATCTGAAGTTTCTTGTATCTTTTCATTTTTTTGTCTTCCACTGCATCACTAAGAAAGTTTATTGTCTTGTCTTGTGGTAGTAAGAATTTCAGCAGTCTATCTAAAAGGAATAGATCCAGCAATTACAAAACTCACTAAGAAGTAAATGAGGCAGCACTTCCATTGCAGAATGCTTATGATCGGTTCTGATAACGCAAGTGGCAAAAAAAATGCTTGGTGGGGCTGAAAAGTGTGGTTTTAAAAGTATGTTTGCAAAGCTATCATAAAAAAGTAGGCAAGGATATGTATTTTATTAGCTGACTTCGAAAATATTTGTGTAACTCCGTTTGCATCACTGTATATGTCTACATATTTCTGTTTTTTTCAGAATGATCTCAAGGTCAGTCAGAGCTCCTGGGAACTTAAGCTATATTTTTCTAGTAAGTTATTTCAGTCGTCCAAGTCCAATTTAAGTATAAACACAGTTTCCATGCACAGCAGGTTTACAGTATCTCTGTTTGCTTATGTTAAAAGTTACCGGCTACCCAGGTCGGTTCAGCCAGTCAGATTGCCCTCTTCAATAAACATTCTGACACCACTTTCAGGTTTTGAGTGTGTGTGTGTTTTGGGGAACGTGTCACACTGTGTGATGGATTGCTTATTCCATTCCTAGGCTTAGGTGGGAAACTTTTGGGGTTGTGATGTGTCACAGACCTCATCTCGTTAATGTACCTGGAACTGTTGAGGACAACATCACAGAAAATTGCATTTTGGGATGCTCTGGTGTTGCAATTGCAATGGAAAGCTGTCGATTCCTTTGTTGGAAAATCTTTGTGAGTATGGAGCTGAATTGAGGATTTAACAGGCTGAGACTGAGGAGCTGCCTTAGTGTTCCTGTTTTACAGGTGAAATCTGAGCAAGAAAATAAATAGGAAAAATATGTTCTGCATAGTGGAACTATCATTGAGCACCTGGACCTGAATTTCATTACAGTTCTTTATTAAGGCTTAAATACCCACTGCAGCCAGTGGCTTTGCATATACTAGTCCAGGAACAATCCCAAGAAGGAAATTTCTCTCAGCTACCTTTTATTCAGAGGGACAATAACAAAGGGGAGCAACTTACTTTTGTACGGGTGAGACACACTCCTGTTTTCCTGTTCCCTTTCACTGCTTTTGTGGCACAGTCACACCAGCCAGGCTCTAAGTGCACTGAATACACAGCAAGGATTAGGAGATGATACCATGCAGAGATGCTGCTCAGTCCATCAGCTCAGAGGTCAGAAGATCTCTGTTCCCATCTCGGTTCCAAAGGACATGGCGTGTTTGCTCAGTAAACTTCCCCAACTACTCCATTGTGTGTTCCTTGATATCCCTGTGTGTTTGCTCCTTTTTAAAGCAGAAATACTAGTGGTGGTATGTGTCCAGAAACTTGGGAAAACAGACATCCAGAATTCCAAGGTGCTAAAGGACTGTGCTCATGCCTATTACCTTCAATGAGATATTTCCAATACTTAAATTTAAGCCCATGCTTAACTGCTTGCAGAATCTTTTGGGTTTGATTAGCATTATTCCAGGATCATTTACATTTCTATGATCCTCTCCCTTGTTCATCAGTTCCCAAACTTCTTGAAATCCTGGATTACTCTTGGCTGTCACAGTTTCTTTACAGGGCGCTATCCAAGTTTATCATTGCACTTCTAATCAAAATAGCTACCTCTGATATCCTTCCACAAACCAAGTGCCTTATGCCATCAAATCTTCCTTGCCAAGTATGACTGTTAACTTGACTTTCAGAAAACCAAGAATGTGTCAGAATGACAGGTTGCCTTTCACTACATTGAATACCTTCCTTTTTCTCCCTTAGCAGAGGCTTCTGGATTGTTTCCTTGTTATTTAAAACAAAAACAAAACAAAATGAAACCAGATACAAGGCTGTGAATGCTGTCATAGGTGTTTGCTCATGGGTTCTTCAGTCTCCTGGAGCTGCTGATCTCCTGCTGTAAAATAGTAAAATCTAGATGTTTGTCCCTAGGCTGTAATAGCTCTGAGAATGGTTTGTGCAACAGTGTGATAAGCAGCCTAATGAAGAAAAGCAGAAAGTGTGAATAAAAATGTGTTTCTTTCCTGGAAGGGAGAGTACATCGGCAGGCAGAGAAGGAAAAAGAAGAGAAGCGTCCTGTCTGGAGTGAAGAGCTTAAGGGAAGATTCACTGGGATTTCTTACAAAAAATGAAATGTTAACATTAGTGTTAAAAAGGAGATCTTTCTGCAGAGTTAAGTTCTTTGTTTAACAGACTTCTTCCTTCAAAGCACTGTTTGCTCTTTGCTACTTCATGAGTAACTTTTATTACCAGCAAAGTACCCAGACATTTTTTTTTGTTTTTGGTTGCTCTTTTAAAAAAATCCCCTTGAGCTTGGAATTTCTCTGGACACAGTCCTTCCCTTCCCCTACAGCCCTGCAGTCCTTGGGCACGCACTCTGCAGAGGGTCAGGTTGCATCCTCATTAGCAGTTTGTTTTATTGCTGTTTGCTGTGGGACAAAACCGGGAATGTTTCCGGCCAAGCCCGGTGCTGCTGCCCTTCTTCTCGCCGTGGCTCCGGGAGCCAAGCACAGCCTCTCACCTCGGCCCAGGCTTACAGTGAGTGGACACCCAGGAATGTCCCTTGCAGTACTTCCCTCTTCCCAATGGAGCTTTGCAAGGTGCCTGAGCTGTTGGGTTCACTCATGCAGAGTTAGGCAGCACATTTTCCATAGTGATTTTTGTGTGTACATGTCTGCGTGTACTTTTAATCTCTGTAAATCCCTACCAGGCTCACTTTGTTCTTTGACATGCCATGGCTTATGAACAAAAATCATCAGGTCCTGAGCCTTTCATCTCCAGAGAACTCCTTAATACATTGCAGAGTATCATTACTTTTGATGCTTGGTGAGTACAGTAGCTACTAAGATACAAGTATGAAAGCCTCAACAACTAGAGGCATATTGATTTGTAGTTCTCACATTCCATTTTTAAAAAATATTTCTAACCCTCATGGTTGCAGGGGAAAAAGACTGGAAATGTAAATGATGGAAATGTAAATGATGGCAAACATAATGGTTTGTGAGCTGCTAAGCTGAGGTGATGCCACATGTTTGATAGAAAGGCTTTGCTGTTGGGGTGACAGATAACTCGAATCCCCAGCTCTGGGCAGAAGAATGTCAGCAGAGGATGCTGAAGCCAAGAGGCACTGGATCCAGCTGTGTGCCCACATCAGCCCCATCTAGCTGAGATACCATCAAAGTTGTTGTCTTCTGCCTAGAAACTGCTCCCAGAACTTCCTCCTCCTCTGCTTCAGCTCCCTGGGCTGAGTGCAGTTTTTGTTAAGGTCATATAGGGGTATTTGGAGAGTTGAACACCTTTGCTGTACAGGCACAGCGAGAAAGATGGATGAAAGTGTCCCAAATGAAATCTATTTTGTAAACTCATGTTGGGAATCCTTATGGTTGGCAGCGTGAAACCGTATCCTCTCTTCATGTGGGCCATGCTTGCATCGCCACAGAGATGTTAGTTTTGAGTGCCTTTCTGGGGATCAGATGCATGTTCTTTCTGTAATGAAGTGGCTGTTGTGAAGTTTGCCTTCTAAAGCTTACCCCTTGGGCTCCTGGGGAAAAACAAGCCTGAAGCTGCCAATATCTAACTTTTAATTATTATTCAGTTCTGGGGCATAACCACCCTGGTTACATTCATGAAAGTCAGGAATCATGCTTATGCAATTCTTTTGGCATTGTAAATAGAGCCCCAGAGAAATTTGTTTTGATTTTAGTAGTAACTTTTCTGAGAGATGACTTTTACTTTTAATAAATTATTTACTTTCAATTACAAAATATAAAATTAGAGGTATAAAATATAAAATTAAATAACTCACCTGTGTCTAGTTAGAATAGTATCATTTCCCAGAAGATCTAAAATTTATCCATCTGCCTTGTAAAATGAAGGTCTGATAAATAGCTCTTTGTTTTCTGCCTATCATCAGTAAAAGCCTTGAACTAAATATGGTAAGAAAAAAAAATTAAACATATTCAGTATAAATATAGATACGAATATCATGACATGTAAAATTGGTCTCTAAAAATAGTGAAGGAAAAAGGCTCAGCAACATAAATGTGTAACTAATATGTCAAATAGTTCTTAAGTTATTCACAATATAATATGACAAGTTGCAATATGGTATAAAGTAGAGGAGGGGAGGTGAGAACATGGGAAGTAAATTCTCATTTTTAGCTTTTCAGCTGGGGGAAGAACACAGTCTGTGAAAAAATAAGAAACAATATGCATGCAAAATTTATATACTTTTATATTATATTAATTACTATCCAACAAATGTTGCCTACAGCTAACAGAGTGAAAATGATTAGATGGAAGGCTTTGATTTTTCAATAAACTTCTCTCTAAGGAGGGAAAAAAGAAAATGATAACACTGTGTTGTTTGTATTACAGAACAACATACAACTAATATCTGGATCTCATTATGCTGGGAAATGTTCAAATGCAGGTAGAAAAATGGTGTCTTTCACAAAAAAGCAGCAAAATAATTTGCACAAAAGAACAAAGATGAATGTACAGTAATAAGGAACAGCTGAAGGAGAGCAAAAGATCACAAAGAATCTTCTTTTGTTTGCCACATATGTATGCAATAGAGCTGGAAGGAGAAAAGTATTTCGCTTTCTCAGGGAACCTTGATGTTCCAAGAGTTTGAAATTGCCTGTAAAAAAGGACTGGAGCTGGAGTTGTTGGATACTGGAGCTCTGGCCATGGCTGTAGCCATGACCCTGGTATCTCTGAGCTCCCCAGTCACCATGGCTGTGCTGTGCCTGGTACTCTGCTCTGGACTGGGGACCTTATAAGCCCAAGGGCCCTTAATCTTCAGGCAATTTATCTAGCAAGATTTGTTGAAACTGTGGGAGCTGGAAGCCCTGGTCCTCAGGAGACTACCAGCTGGGCTGCTCAGGAGCTGGGGCTGGCATAGCTCCAGTGGAAGCTTGCCTGTTTTTCAAAGGAATTTAATTGAATACTTGTCTGGATGAAATGTTTCTGTTTGGTAAATTGAGACATTCCAAAATAAAAATATAGTCAGAGAGAGTTTTTTCGCCAGATGTAGGGAGCAGGTACATGGTTTCTATTTCAACATATGTAAATATAAATATATGTATATGTGTTTTATGTGATAGAAAGGTAGAGAGACACAGCTGGCCATTTTCCTGCCTCCTCTTCATTAGGCATATTATATTATTTTCCTGTTTATTTCTATTTTGCCAGTGCTCAGGAGCCCAGAGCTTTATTGTGCTCATCGGTGTCAAATCACGGAACAACACAGCCTGAATCTCTAGTGAGATTCTTGTGGTTGGAAGCAAGCTGGAGAAGAGCTCAGAGGAAGGACAGGGTAAGTGCCCCACAGCTTAGTTCAAGGAGTTGTGAAAAACACGTGGTTGAAGGACAGCACAGGCAGTGATTCTGGGAGTGCTGTGGCAGCGTGGGATGTGTGCTGGAGACATGGAGCAGCAGGATTTCATTATCAGAGACTTGAAGTCAGGAAGCAATATAAGGGTTGGACTGAGTGA